AGAGAGAGTAATTTATTAATCATTAATATTAATTATTAATTAGCTATTGTTGAACAATTCTATACAGCCATTATACTCTCTTAATCCTAAATAGGCTAAAGTATACTTTCAGTCCTTTAACTTTATATAAGGTTTTATTTTAGTTCCTTAATTTTAAAAAGTAAATTTTTAGTCCTCTAACTCTAAAACTATTAACAAAAAATGATGATATTAAGCTCCTGAATAGTGATAACATATTACTAAACACTAACATATTAAGTTTAATATTCAAAACAATTATGATTGTACAAAAAATCATTATTTAAGACTAACAATTTTGGATTTAAAGGACTAAAAATATACTCCCTCCGTTCCTATTATAAGAGACAATAACCGATTTACGTTGATAAAAAAAACAGTTAAAATTAGTTAAGAACAATCAATGTGTAAAAAGTATAATTCTTTTTCCAAAACTGTCCTCATTAATAAGAGAGAGAACATGAGAGAGAACAATTAAATTATTAAAGAAAGAGAAGTAGGAGGGAGAGAGAGTGTGAGTTGGAGATAATATTGGGTAAAATAGGAAATCAACAAAAAAGTAGAGACAACTTTTAAGTGTCTCTTATATATAGGAACATGCCATAAGCATGAAATGTCTCTTAAATAAGGAACGGAGGGAGTACTTTTTTTAGGTTAAGAGACCAAATGAAACCTTGTGTAAAATTAAAGGACTAAAAGTATACTTTAGCCATCCTAAATATAAGGCTTAGTCAATTAATAATTAATACATGTAAATTAAAAAAATTAGTTAAATTGGTTATTTGTTATTATTGTATAAAAATGCATGCCACTTTTCCCAAAATACTCTCCAAAAAAGAGGGTTAAATAGGAGATAAAGAGGGTGAAGAAACAGTGAAACTAATTAGGGTAATTTGAGAAAAATATTAAATGAGGAAAAAAAATTAAGGTATGATATTTATAATCAAACTAAATTTTATATTTTTTGGGTAGGCACATGTATTCTTTTATTGGAAGTGATTTTGTTTGAGACATTATTGAACACTTAACGTGACTATCTCTCCTAACAAGAATTTGAACCTTAATTCGCAACTAAATTTTGTATTTAAATGTGAAGAGAGTATCATGTTTTTGGAAATACGTTGATTCTTGTCAAAACTAGTAGCCCTGAACATAATTTTGGCAGAGTAGTAAATGTATTATCAGGAAAATATTTATATGGCATGGTAACGATTTTTATATTAAAAAAACTTTCGATATATTGTTATTTTCATGTGTGTTTTGTAGTTTACTTTTTAATACAAAGAGGACTAAAACCTTAGTTTCATACTTACTACTCACAACATTTTTACCTTTTTTTTTTAATGCGATCATATTAACACCAATATAAGATGAAATCACGCCCTTGAAGCATTGTTGAGTCTTCAGCTTCAAGCAGGATTGGAAGACGAAAAATGTTGTGTTTCTTTTTTCTTTTTCTTTTTTCCCCTTGCCATATCTCAATTATTATGCTAACTTAACCAGCATTTTGAATTCGAGCCCTAAAGTATATAGTTGCATTAAGTATTTATTAAGAGAGCGTTGCTATTGAGAGAGTTTTGGTTTTGTGATTTTTATTTTCAGTTTGATACAAATTTCGATTCTGATGCAACATTTGTTAAATAAATTGATATTTAAATTGAGTAAATATAATTATAAAGATCAGCTTATTATTCCAGGTTCAATAATTGTTATGTATCATACTTTACCTTGTTTTTAAACACCTTTTTTATTTTCATAGAATAATAGACATGATGTTTTATTTATGTTTATATCAAGAATTTATTGGCCAATTTTTTAAGAGGATGCATGAAACAAAAGCAGGTTCGCATATTTCACTCCTTTTTTCAATTTTCTCCAATTTTTAGGGAGAAAAAGTGTGGTTAGGAACTCAATGATATTTATGATTTAAATTGCAGAAATATTGATATTTGGAAACGAAAAGGAGGTTTGCAGAAACGAAACCATTATTTAAAAAAAAATTACTTGCAAAACAAATAGCCACCAGTAAATGTTCCTCAAAAGTCTTCAATTTAAACATATAACCTTCATAATCTTTCAAATATATACTAATAAAATTAAGTTGTTTATATTTATCTCCTATTAAGTTTGCCAATCATAAATGGTATATGTCTTTTTTCAAAATGTTACAATTTAATTATAAACCCACATAAAAAAAACGAATGTGGGTTTTCTTCTCACTGTTGGAGAGAAAATGACAAGGCTCCCACACCCTTTTTTTTTTTATACTTTTTTTTTTCTTCTACTTTTCTCTCCTCATCTAAATAAGGCAAAATTTATTTCTCTCCTCATTTTCTTTTCTTCCTAATTTTCTCTCTATCCAAACAAAGGCTTAAAGTTTGAGGGGTTATAAAATTAAATATCACAATAAAAAATTATACGAACATAATATTATCAAATAATTTAAAATAAAATTAATTAATAAAAATAATTACTCCTCCGGTCCTAATTATAAGACCCAATTGACTTATTTGAGGAGATTAAGGAAATAAGTTAAGTTGGTTATTTATAATAAATAAGTGTTGTCATTCCTAAAATATCCTTGCTAATTAAGTATATTGGCTAAAACTATCATTATTAGAAGGATTATCTTAGAAAAAATACATAAATATAAGAAACAAAATGGATTGGGGTCTTATAATTAGGACCAAATAAAAAGTCAAATGGGGTCTTATAATAAGGACCGGAGGAGTATCATATTATTATATTTAAAAATCAAATAGTTTAGTAAAAATGTTATTTTTCATAGAAAAATAAAAGTGATATTTTAAATTAAATATAATAAAAATAAATAAAAATATATTATATAAAATTATTGTTAAATAATAAAATTTATTATAAAAGTGACAGAGATGGAGAAATATACGTGTATGTGTGTTGTTAGTGCGAATTCTGAGTATTATAGAAATTTGGCTACAGTGAGATAATTTTGCTAAATAATAAAATAACTATAAAAAATTAAAAAATTACTTCAAAGACAAAATATGCATTTATTCACTTAGTATGAGGGAGAGTATGCGAGGAATATGAGTTTTTTTCTCATTGTTGGAGAGAAAATGACGAGGCTCCTACGCCTCTTTTTTTTTTACTTATGTTTTTCTCTTATCATCCAAATAAGGCAAAATTTATTTCTCTCCTTATTTTTAGTTTTTTTTCTTTCGAATTTTTCTCTATCCAAAAAGGGGTTAAAGTTTGAGGGGTTATATAAAAACTAGAGAAATTTTAAGCGAGTATTGGTATATAACATATTATGCTCTAATAGTGGAAGAATAGAAAAATTAGTAAAAAGAAGGTTATATGCATAAACCTAAAAAGGTAAGGAAGATTCATGTTAAGTTTTAAAAATTAAATGAGTTATTTTCATGTAGATCAAATATTGTTTAAAAGATTTTGTTTTAGTCACCAAAAAAAACAAGCGAATTTTATGTTTTTGAGAAATTTAATTGTCATTTTTCCTTTAAATTTGATCGGTCCAATTGGGTGCAGAAAAAACTTGACCTAATTGGACCATTTCTATTAACATAGTTAATGTAGTGCATGTATAATTTTGGATAAACTGATTTGCTGAGTCATGAATCAAATTAAAAATAAATAAATTTAGCTATAAAAATGATTTTGGGCGAGAAATTAAAATTGTTCCCCACATCATTATCATTTTATCACATGTTGAGTAGATAAATCTAAACGTTGTCCAAACATTTAGAAAGAATACATAAACTCAACTATTTTATAGTCCCCACACCCCCCAAAAAAGAAAAACCTCGTATTTTTAAAAAAGCCAGAAATAAATTTAAGAAATCATGGGTAATATACATCTATAAACAAAATGAAGAGTGAAAATACCAAATGGACCAAAAAAGAAAACAGAAACTGCAGTAACAGATGTGGCAGAAAGCAGAAAGGGGAAAAGGGGATTCAAATTGGGCAAGTTTTGCATGTTAACCATCGGCTTTTTTCCCTGCGTGACGATCGCTCCCCCATCAAGTTTGCCTCTCCCTACTTAATGACATTTGTTTCACATCTCGTACCATGCAAAATAAATATATGTAGATCTTAGATTCCCCCGTTGGTTTTTTTTTAAGTAAAATATAAAACTAATTTGAGAATTGATTTTCATCTTAAATATAATATCTATTTTTATATTAATATTTTCTCAATGAGATGGTGGGCTTTTCTCACAATAATAATTGAAGTCAAGGTCCATCTTAAATTTGGCAACAACAAAAGACCATTTTATTTAAGGGTGTTTTGAAAAACATGTCATATTTATTATAAGTAATTAATTTAATTATATTTTTTAATCTAATTAAATTAGTTAAATAATTCTTATTGAAAGAGCATATAAAAACTAGGTAATTAATTTGGTAAATATTAAAAATTAGTTAAATTAATTATTTATAAAAAGCATTTTTTTATATTCTCTTTATTATCATTTACATTGAAAATACTTTTGGATGGAACCCTCTCACTATATGCATTCAATGGGATAGTTTAGAGAAAAATATATAACTCATCAAAAAAAAGAGAAAAATATTATAAATGTGAAAAATAAAGGAAATTAAATTTTATATTTAAAACTAAATTAAACTTTCTAATTCTCATGTTTAAAACCGAACGAAGTATTATTTTTTGAGGGACTGCAATTTTTTTTTTCTTTTTTGAGAATTAAAAGGACATACATCAATGCTCAATGTTAGAAGCTTCGTCCGACCCGCGATCTCTCATTTACATGAAAATTTTTCAATCTAGTTGACAATTAAACTCCTGCTTTGCTATATATATATATATATATTGCAATTTCAGCCTTCTTTATAATTAAATCCTGGCTCCACACTGGTTAGACTTGAGAAATTGTCAAGTCTCGTATTAGTCAATCCAGTCTAGCTAGGCTCATAAACAAGAATGTGCAATTTTAAGAATAATCAGAAATCAGAAAAATCATTTATAATTACGGGGCTGTGTTCTTTGCTGGGTGTCTTTTGGTGGAGGAATGCTTGTCACCTACTCCTTTTAACTTCTCAAATCTCCACAACCAAGTTGGTGTGACTCAAAGACCAAAAGCTTTCAAGCTTCCTTCCACCTCTCTCTCTCTCTCTCTCTCTGTGTTAATGGCGGAGAAGCACAAATGCAAGCTCTGTTCCAGAACTTTCGCTCATGGCAGATCACTCGGCGGCCACATGAAGGCCCATTTCGCCACCCTCCCTCTTCCGCCCAGGCCTCAACCACCGCCTTCACCTTCATTCTCGTCTTCCTCCTCACAAGATTCCGACGACAAGGCTCTGATTTATGGCCTCAGAGAAAATCCCAAGAAAAGCTTCAGGCTTGCAGATCCTGGGTTCTCCCTTGTTGATACTACTGCCTCTGTTATTGTTCAGGACCGAGAGAGCGAGACCGAGTCAAAGAACCCAACTCGCCTTCGATCCAAGCGAACCAGAACCCAGAGATTACCATCACCCAAGAAGCCTAAACCAAGTCTCTCCGAGTCGCCCGCTGAACCCGAACCGGCGAGCTCTGTTTCTGAAACTAGCACCGAAGAAGATGTCGCTATGTGTCTCATTATGCTGTCGAGAGACAAATGGAAGAGAAACGCCGTAAAGAAAGAAGAAGAAGATCGAGAAGGAGACGAGAAATCGAAGCGATTCGAGGAGATCAAGGTGAAGAAAGGAGTTCGCGGGAAGCATCAGTGTGAGAAATGCAGAAAGACGTTTCGATCGTTCCGAGCATTGGAGAGTCACAGGAACGTTTGTTTTCGTGATGAACAAGACGCTATCAACAACAACAACGATTCGATCTTCCAATGCCCATTTTGTTATAAGGTGTTTGGGTCTGGACAAGCACTTGGTGGCCACAAGAGATCTCATCTCCTTCAATCTCCATCATCAACCTTGAACGATTCTGCAAGATTAATCAAAGAAAGCTTCATAGATCTCAACTTACCAGCCCCAGCTCCAGCAGCAGCAGAAGATGAACTCAGCGTGGTTTCTGATGCATAATTCTCGGATCGTTCTTCACGCAATTCAGTAAAGCAAATTCCTTTTTAGTTTTTTCCCCGCTTATTTCTTGGTTAGATCCAAAAGCTTTAGGTGGAACAACAACAATCATAGCTGTCTGCTATGTTTATACCTTTTATAGACCTAGATGTTGAATTTGTAGCTAACACACCTGAGATTTCTTTCTTTTCCTCCATTGTTCCCCCCACAGCAAACCCAGTAATTTGTTGGCATTTTTTCGAGATATAACGGTGAACCAGAATATCTTTTTATTTTTTTAATATTTTTTTTGGGGCGTCTTCATGATTGTTTTTGCTTTTATCGAAGTTTTCAGAGATGGTACTGAAGGAGGAAAATTCCATGGATTTTGGGGATGAGAGATTAGTGGTTTGTATTGTGAAAGGATAAATCTGTTGAAAAGAACGAAGCAAGTGGGGTGAGGGTGAGGGACGTATTGTGAACGAAGAATCAGTCAGATTTGTGATGCACTTGTCGGTTATGTGATAAAGTATTATGCCAACCTAATACTTCAAAGATTAGCAAAACCATTGTGTCTAACTAACTAACATCAATTTTCATTTTCAACTATGATAAGCCAAGGGTATTAATTAAATTTTTTTAAAAAAAAATTGTACCTGCTTAAAATTTGATGAATCTTTTTAATTCTTTGAAATACTACTCCAGTAATTTATAATTTTAAGTAGGCTCAATATAATTTTTGATTTTTCAAATTTACTCTCATTTTGATTTTAGTTTCTTAAATTTCAAACTCGTTTAGGAAAGCCACTCTCATTGTACCCAATAATGTTCAAATCTAATTCAGTTTGGTAATCATATAAAGAAATAATTTTGGTTTTGAAGAAACAAAAAATTTTTGAAAATGTATCTTCAATTATATGTTTTGAAAAATAAAGAATTTAAAATTTATTTTGAAAAATTAAAGAAAGAAGTTTGTTCATGTTCTATTACTTTTTTTTTAATCCAAAATTAGAAAAGAACGAGAAAAAACATTGTACTTGCATTAATGACAATCATGCTAATAAAACAAAAATATTCTTTTATTCACCCAGCCATTTTAAATATGTTTCTCAAAATAATGATTCAAAGATTTTTTTCTTTTTTGGTTTTCAAGACATGTTTTAAAAATTACTCCATAAAAAAGGAATATAATCAAACAAAAGTCTTTATTATCGATCTGAATACTACTCCTAGCTACTAGTCCTGCAAAAAATTTAAAAGTAACTCATGATAGTTAATTAAGGTAAGAGTCAGAAGTCAGAACTGATAATTTTAAAATTTGATGGAATAATACTAAATATGATATAATTGCATTAGAATTAAAATAAGTTAATAATAATAATAATAATAATAATAATGCATTTAAAAGTTAAAAGAGGAATATGGTAAGGGTATTTTAGTGATTGTGGTTGCGATTGATGCCTCATATATGTTTCGTGCATGTGATGGGTTGCTTCAAAAGAATTCTACCTCAATCCTGGAACTGATTAGAGAATCTTTACGAGTTGATCCTCAGTGTTTTATATTTAAAAAAAAAAAAAAACCTTTTCAGTCAGCGAGAATAACGTGAACCCAGCTCCCAAACATAACATATGGAAAGGAAAAGGTTGCAGTGAAATTCCCATTTTAATCCCTGTTTTGTTTGATAAATATGTCTGTTTAATTAGTGTTTTCCATATACTCTACTATATATAGTGTTAAAGATTGAAATATTAATTTTTCTGGGCAAAAAGGGAAATTTTAAATTTTTAAAAAAATTAGAAGCAAAAGATAAAATATGAGAAAGGGTCTTAAATTTAAGACTAAAACCAAACTCAAGAATTGTCTATATTAAGGACATGAGGAGAGTACTAAATTTGTAAGTGAAAATCAATTTTGTTGACATTTTTATTTGATATTTAGTATTTTCAGATTTTTTGATTATTTATTTTTTCAGGATAAAATCTCTAAAACTGAAAAAAAAAAAAATTTAAAAAAACAATAACAAAAAACAAAAAAAAAAAAAACACAGTTGTGCCAAGAGGAGGGCATGAGTAGCCTAATCCTCGGAGTCCGTTTTCGCGAATGAGCTCGGTTAATTATAGGAAGACAGGCATAAATTATATATGAAAATTATTATTATTATTATTATTATTTATTTTATGTTATGTTATTAGATTATTATATTATATTGAGTTGTTGTTTAAGTAGTATTAAATAAATGTTAATTTTGGCCGAAAAAATAAATGTATCTGTTTCATAATTAATAAATATTCAGTTATTCTAATACGTATCCTTTTTTCTGCTTCAAAAAAGGATGATTCTTTGTCCTTTGTTCCTTACTGTCCAGGCCTTCTGGTCGCGTTAATGCGGAGAAATCTAACCAAATCAAAACAAATTGTAACGACCTCGTTTTGCTGGGGAACATTAATTTGTTAGGAGTTTCACCTAAATTTTAATTTGGTTTTTGTAACTTTTTGTAACTTCTTTTTATTAGGTCCTTAATATTTTTTAAGAGCAAGACTTAGATCAAATTACTTATGGGTTCATTTTTCCAATCAATCTTCCCATATGTGATTTTTTTTTTGAAAATTCATATATGATTTTATTATCAGTGATATTCTACAGAATATTTAAATTATACCCACGTGAATTTTATTATTAAAATAAATCCATTTGCTGAGATTTAATTGGAAAAACGGACATTATAAATATAACTAATTTAACCTAAGTTTTGTCGTTTCTTCAATTATAAGTATTAGTCTCTATTATTAAAAGAAATCCATACGATAAAATTTGAAGAAAAAAATGGACTAAGTAGTCCTTATGTTTATAATATATTAATTCTGACTAGGGTGGATATTGACTAAGCTGCATGTAAATTGTCCAAAAATAAAAATAGAATTTTTAAAAAATAAAATGATTGAATAAAATTTATTTATTATCAACAAAATTATTATGCTCATCATAACTGTATACTATATATGTAATTTGCAATCTAACTGATTTTGATTTTATTTGGATCCATGTGACAAAATTAGTTCAAATGTAGGTTGAGACTCGAGTAAGAACCATATTATTATTTATTTTATCAGTTATCAGCACTGTTTAACTCTCAAATTAATAAATTATAAGTACACCATCATTACCTATAATAGAGGAACTATACAGATCCAATTAAAAAAAAAACCACCAAAATTTAATTAAAAACGAGGTAAAATTACAATAACTTGTATATTAATTTTTTACTCTTTTGTTATTAGGACTTAGTATGATTAAATATGATTTAGGAGCGAATTGGGGTGTCAGCTTTTTTTTTTTTTGGCCAGCAAATTAGGGTGTAAGATTAAAATTAAATAGGTAAGTAATAGGATTGAATTAATTAAAATATTCAGACAGATGGATGGAAAGATGAGGGGCGATGGCGACCATAGAGATAGGCGCATTTTTTGGTGACTTGTGTTCGCCATTCTCTCTTGTAAATATATATTCTTCCTGATACTAATTGCTACTCATTACACCACCTTTTATTATCACTTCAATCCATGACTTGTTTTGGCTTAACCTATTTGTGAAGTTTCTAATTCAACTTTTTTCCTAGGTACATTGTACCTTTTTTACTAGAAGCAATCTACTACCTCTGGTTCTTAATTTGGTCTTATTTGACTTTTATTTTGATCTTAATTATAAGACTCCAGTCTACTTTGTCTTTTTTATTTGTGTATTTTTTTCCAAAGTAGTCCCTCTAATAATGGTAGTTTTAGCCAATAAATTTGATTAGTAAAGATATTTTAGGAAAGGCAACATCTATTTATTACAAATAACTAATTTAACTTTTTTTTTATCTCCTCAAATTAGTTAATTAGCACTTATAATTAGGACCGAAGGTAGTATTTCAAACACTACAGGGTACTAAACGTGTATTTTAGATCAAATGAGAATCTTCTTCTTCCAGTGCCAATCCATTTAAGTGACTTGCTTCATCATTTGTTTCCTGGACTCCAAAATAGATACCTCCCTTCGGACTTTTGACACTATAATGTCCACAAAATTTCGTAAAACAACTAAAGTTTAACAAAAGTTATCAAAACACAAAGTTTCATAAAACAACCTAAGTTTAGCAAAAATTATCAAAAAATAATATTTTGCAAGTATAACGCAAACAGAAATGGATCAATTAATAAGATTATAACTTGTACTAATATAAGTTTGAATCACACTATCAATATAATTCAATTGTGAAATTTCTAATTCAATTTTTTCCTAAGCACATTGTATATTTTTTTATTGGAAACAATCTATCTATTTCAAACACTATAAGGCACTAAACGTGTATTTTAGATCAAATAAGAATCTTCTTCTTCAAGTGTCAACCCATTTAAGTGACTTGCATCATCATTTGTTCCCTCGACTCCAAAGTAGGTACCTCCTTTTGGACTTTCGATACTATGATGCCCACAAAATTTTGTAAAACAATTTAAGTTTAACAAAAATTATCCAAACACAAAAGTTTCATAAAACAACTTAAGTTTAGCAAAAATCATCAAAAATTAATATTTGCAAGTATAACACGAAAAGAAAGTGGATTCGATTGATGAGATTGTTACTTGTACTAATATAAGTTTGAATCACACCGTTATATAAAGATGTGATCATAAGTTGTATATAAGTAAAAGTGAATTCTTAGAACATAAAACTCGTATTGTCACCTAAAAAGGTAATGACATTTAGTCTCAAAATAGTGACTGAATCAATGATGGTTGGCTAAAAAAAAAATCCAAAAAATAAGTTATTAATATCAATTCAAACATTTGCAAACAGAAATCTAATTGTAATTTGGTTACATTTGAAGTTTAAATTTCTTGTTTACAATAAAAAGATTATTAAATTCCAAGTTTTTGGCAAATCATCTTTTAGCAAAATTTGTCAATATCCTAACAGTCATTAAGTTATTTTTGGCCCTAAATGTCATTTTTCCTAACCTAAACTCCACTTAGTACCTAATTTGTGGTTTTTCATGAAAATTGGGGGTAATTTTGGTATTTTGATATTCAATTCAGGTTATCAAAAATCGCTCTCATACAAGGGATGATGAAATTATTTGAAACTTATCTTGGATGCCACGATCCAATTAGCCATTTCCGTTGTCTTACGTTCCGTTTTCAACAAACTAACATAGCATTAGGGAAATGGTCGTGCATGCGACAGGATTATATAATTAAGTAAATGTCTATTCATAAAATATTTTGTCAGGGGTATCTAACACCACAAATTTT